CAAAATAACCGGTTCATTTATAAACTGAACATATCCTACTGACAAATGCCAACATATTTATGTCGCAATAATTAAACTACAAAGAAACGAAACTTTTCATAAGACGCCATGTGCCTAAAATTCTAACTATGAATCATAGGATACTTGAGTAATCTAAATGTGTCCTTATTAATCTATTTTCAGGTTATAATGGGCGGTGGTAGGAAGGAATTCTTCCCGAACACAACCAGTCTGCTGCTGAACAGCACTGGGCTGAGGCTCGACGGCCTCGACCTGGCGGAGAAGTGGCACGAGGATAAAGTTGAGAAGAACGCAACACACCAATACGTCACCGACAGAGCCGAGTTGTTGAAGGTATGATATACCAATCCAGAAAGAGAAGAAATTGATGAAGTAATAGGAATTTACGAAATAGTTTCAAGTCGTGTTTGTGAGAGAAAGACTTAAGTAAAATACTGATGCTTTGTTTCTCAATTTGCTTTTCTATTTATTTAGACAATGAATAATTATTATTTTTACCTGATTCATTATTCTTACTATAGAAATATGTCTTCTTTCTTCTTCCAGGTGTTTAATTCTGATGACCTTCCGGAGTATCTCCTAGGTCTATTCAACGACGACCACATGGAGTACCATATGAAAGCACACAACGAGCCTACTTTAGAGGAGATGGTCGAAGTCGCCATAAAGATGTTAAGTAGAAGCGAAATTGGATACTTTCTGTTTGTAGAAGGTTAGTTTTAATATAGATAATTTAGGATATTTACGAAACAACTCTCTCTCTAAATTTGGTATTTGACATGCAGCATTCCAAAGTTTGGTGGTTTGGTTTGGATGGATTTAGGATAAATTCAAAATGTATATCTTTAGTGCAACTATACAAATAGCTGTAAGCAATCACGCAATTGATATAAACCTGGTTTCATTAAAATAATTATAAATTCCACAGTCTCTCAAAAACAATTACTTATGGCATTGTACCAATAACTTTTATTATAAGTATTTGTTTAGTAACTGCACCGAAATGGTCATGAACAGAGTTTAATAGCTTACAATAAAAATAATTCCTCCTTTAATAAGACAGTTGTGAAATACAAATCTATGCTTAGTTACGCTATTTATGCTAGTTCGAATCCCACCATGTACCGATGTATTTTTTCCAATTAGATTTGTCATATGTCCATTTATCCGACGCTCTTACGGTAAAGGAAAACATCGTGATGCAACCTGCACATATCTGAAGAGAAATTCAAAGATATGTGTGAAGTCAACCAACCAGCGGGCCAGCGTGATTGACTATGGCCTAGTCAACCCTAACTTTGGGTAGGCTCCGAGCCCCTCGGTGGGGACGTATAGTGAGCTGATTGTGAATCTATCAGAAACTCCTGCGATCATTGTAATTACGTTGCAATTCTTTTGTTTTCTAGGTGGGAGAATAGACCACGCACATCACGACAGCTATGCTCGTTTGGCTCTCGACGAGACGGTGGAATATGCAAAAGCAGTAAGAAAAGCTAGAACTCTGACTGATGAAAGTGAAACATTAATAGTTGTTAGTTCTGACCACGCGCATACAATGACCGTGGCAGGTTACCCTTCTAGAGGAAACGATATCCTGGGCGCTGTGGACACTGCAAAGGGTTTTGATGATAAACCTTATACAACCATCAGTTACGCTAATGGAAAAGCGACATCTATTGCGGCAGATGGAAGAGTTGACGTCACATTGCAGGACCGATTTATAAATGGTAAGAATCAATTAATTCATATCAATGAAGAGAAAAGCGGTTTAAAAATCTTAGAAACTTGCAGGCGCATTATTACTATCCTGCCTTATTTAGCAATTTTTACCATAAGATCTTCCATATTACTTCGTTCTGAAAACTCGTGATTATTTCCACTGTTATGAAACTTTGATAATAAAATCTTGCAGGCGCTTTGGACTATTCGTATCCGAGCTTGGTGCCACTGGACTCGGAGACTCACGGCGGTGAGGACGTGGCCGTGTTTGCCCTTGGGCCCTGGCAGCATCTCTTCACCGCCAGTTATGAACAAAATGTTGTGCCACATCTCATGGCATACGCTATGTGTTTAACAGAAGATAAACACGATAATTGCAAAAGGCATAGACATTTCTGGACGTCCAGCGGTGAACATAATAAACCTTATGTATTTAGTTATGTATTAAGTATAAGTGCTGTGATAATTAGCTTTACGTTTAATTTTTAAGTTAGAAATAAAAATTTATGGCAATGAATACTTAAGTGGAAATCATCGAATTATGTTACAAACATAAGCATTTACGTGAAGTGACTATATTTAAGCCATTACTATCATTCTTTAAATCTGGGTGCTGAAAGTTTAAAACTAGCCTTTTTAAGGACAAATATATCTAGCACAAAATATTAAAATTATTTGTCTAAAATTGATGAGTACAAATATAAGTTAAGATGCCTCAAGGCAAAAACATTACTACGCAATTGTCTCTGTGTTTTTATTTTGTAGAAGATTTAACATGAAATGTTTTACATAAGAAAATATAAATAAAAAAAAAAACAATGTTAAAATTTTTGCAATTTTTTTGTGCGCATGTAATACGGTTACCAATGAAATTAAATTTCTCTAGTGCATGCGTTTGACGTAAGATGGCGCTAATATTAAACAACGCCGATTGACAAGCGAAGTGACAACTCTTGGTTTTGGCAAATAACGTTAAAAAATCTAGATCTTTAGATTAAGACTTTTAGTGTTAGTTAACTAAATAAGTAGTTAACTAACACTAAAAGGCTCACATTACAATGAATTGCAGAATTTTAAATATCTACGGAAATCTGTAAGAGTTTGAGTGTAAAGCACAGATTTAACAAACATACACAGAGATGGAGTTAAATTAAAATTACAAACGATCTAATGTACCTTGAGCATAAAAAAAAACATTTTTTCCGTCAAAATTTTATTATTTAATTATGTGTTGATTTGTGTCGTATAAAATCGTATTTTAAATGCCGCTGTTAATCACATGAGACATGTCTATAGACATATAAAAAATAAAAATGTAAAAGAACAACAAAACATTCACAAATATATTCAACGTGAAATATATCAGTGTTTTAAAAAGAAAAATTTCATCTGATAAAAAAAGGTTGTTAATACTTTTAGTTAATTTAAATTAAGAGTTTATTGTTTTCTTTTAAATTAAATAACAAAATAAGGAAGAATATTATTATTTGCAACAATAATATTAATCCTCGTTTGTTATTAAGAGTTTTGTAATTGTTATATTACTAAAATAATAAAACGGATTTAGTATTTTTCAGAATTTAATTAATTTTTAATTTCAGAATTTAATATTAATGTAAAGATAAAAAAGATTTTATTTACGGGCTATTTTATTTGGCCTTATTCTGTTTATATTTTTTTTATTTAACGAAAATTAAATACCATTTTAATGACATTTAATACGTTTCATTGTAAGTTTTTACCAATTTTAAAATATTGTTATTATAATTTAATAAAAAAATCCTCTTTGAAAAATAAGATGAAATATCTTTTAATTCTTTAATCCTTTAATTATTTTTAATTACTGTTAGGAAGAAAATCCGGAAATGAGCCAGTGTATTGACTCAACACTAGCCTTACTACAATGTCGACGTTTAATGTCCCCTCACCATTCTGACACTGGACTTTGTAACGAACGCACGTCGTTCACGCCAAAGGATTGTAATTAATAATGTCTAAAATTACATATCATTAATTATTACACATTTTTTTGCTCAATTTTCAAGACAGACTAGATTGCGTATCTTTTTAGAATCTGAGTCATAAAATTAGCCTCGGAAGGCTTTTGGTTGATATAGAAAAATCAAATATTGTTTTCATAGTTCAGTCATTGACTGCTTCGTTCCGATTTGTACGCGCCTAGTAAAGTTGCATTATTATTCTAATTTTATTATTAGTTCTAATCCTCATCACCTCAAACGTCAGCGCCAAAATGGCGATAATCAAATAGACACTAAATACTATAGCTGAAAGCCTGTCTTTGTCGTAATTAGACGTAAATGTCATTATCCTTTAGGAAGGACACAAATTGTAAGACAAAGGAATAATATCATAAGGACAAAGGATAAAATAAATCCTATACAGAACTACTTTATAGGGAATTCCTCACATCAACGGGGAATTTATTAAACATTATGACTACAGAGCTATAGAGTCGTTTCATTTTTTTATTTTGATATTTTTTATTTTGAAAAATTGAACCTTATTAATTTTAAACGCAAAACTTATTAAAGCTAGTTTTAGTAATAAAATTTATTTATTATTTTCTTTTCTTTGTCTATAGTTTTTTATTTTAAAAAACATTTCTTTGTAGTATTTCTTTATAGCTCCTATCCTATATTGCGGTGGTGTAAAATTTGGATAAATTTACTCTAAATTATCGTCTTTATATTTTTCCAATATTATTATTAATACTATTTAACAGTCTACCTAAAAAGATATCTAACAATAACATTTGATAACGGAGATAAAAAAGCATTGAGGTCGAGGCAGGTCGTGTCCACAGGGAAAGTGATTTACAGGGTCACTACGTCGTATTATTACATAGTATTCACTATTATATTTTTAACATTTACTTCATATGCAAATAATACGTTAAAAAATATAAGCATGTCAAAATAAAATCTTCAAAGTATTTGTTTTACTTATCCTTGCAAATAATTGATATTTTAAGATTTTACGTGAAATTAATTTTAGTGTAAATATTTATAAGTAAAAAAATATAATGAAATATCTACATATCCTAATAGAGGCTAATATACATTGTCTACTAATATTTTTTATTATAATATACATATATTTAAGTACGTGTAACATGTAAGAAATATGAAAGCAAAGTCACGGTACAAATTAAATAATTTTACGGCCAATGTCAGCTCCACAGACGGCTTTGCCGGACTTACCCGAATTGCACTTTTAAACTGTCTCTTTAAGATCTCTCCCGCTAGTATAATGGCGAACGTTGCTGTGGTAGTGCTCGATAATTACATTTATTTTATTTAATGTACATTTAAATCAATTAAAAATTGTGCATAAATGTAAATAAAATTAAATTTTAGTTAAACATTTTATATTTATCAATTATTCCGTGTTTTTTTTTAAATAAACATGAGGAATTTGAAGGGATTGTATTTTGTGCCAGTGTTTTTTTTGTGTGTATGGTCAAGAAGTTTGCATCAGGAAAACCGTGAGTATTTTTAAAAATTTATTTTATCTGTGGATTAAATAAATATAAATGTTTGTATACTTATGTAAAAAATGTACACAAGATTAATTCGCGCCAATTTTCAGATGACTGCAAAAATTAATAAATTTTTGTTGCTTTATTCTGAAGCAATATTTTACATAACATTTTTGGAATAACAATTGTGTATTTAAGTTAACGATTACTTAATTAACCTTCGTATTCGACTTTGAAAGTTATTGTACTTACATTTCTATTGTTTATTCAAAACAAACCTAATTTTTATGAAATAAAGAAGGTAGTTAAATAAAATATTAACAACGATACTTAGGTAACGTTATTTATAATATAACAAGGCTGTTAAGATAATTTACAAAAAAAAAACGTTTTAAAAAAATCTAGAATCTTATGACTCTCTAGACCAACATTTTTAGAATTTAGTTTTTTTTTCTTTACGTTTTATAAGCTAACGCTTGACCACGATCCCACCTGGTGAAGTGGAGATTAGTTAAGAGAGTTTAGTGTTTTATCATTTTCACATTGAAGACCAGTGTTTAAAACAGAAGTTTTCTCTCTCGCTCTAACAAAAGTTCTATCCTAAGTCAACATAACAGTAGATTTTACGAGCCTGCATTATTTGTTTTGTTTTTTTAATTACATAGGATTTTTTTATTTTGTCAGATTGTTTTCCGAGAGTTTCGTTGTTTGTGTGTGTATTTATATGTATTTTGTCACACTGTGACTTTCTGTAGCCATTGAAGACTAAGCATATTAGATGCAGCTTCATAGGGAAGGTTTTTTTTCTAAATAAACAAAATCTGATTTATAGCTTCCTTGTCAGCCTTTTGAAAAAAGAACAAAAAGCCATGTCGGTAGCGTCTTTTTTATACTACTTTTTAACTATAGAACTTTGAAGGTCTGTCAACAAAAGTATTGGATGACAATAAATTACGTTCTTTAACAAAAAAAAAGTTAATAAAATTAATCTCCGTAATCTTACCTGATGTTATGAGAAATGTCAATTCGATGTATTATTTGGTTAAGCAGTTACTAACGAATATGTTCCCAGAATTGATTTTGTTCTCATATTAATTTGAGACGATTTCTTTTGATTTAATGCGACACCGGTTAAATTAATTTATAAATATTGTATGCGGGAATCTTTAGAAAACTAAACTGACTAACTTACTCCTCTGTAGTCTATTTGTTTCTTCTCTTAAGAATACTTATAACCGAACTAGCGGAACTGCGCGGAATCAATAAAACCGTAAGTAGCCTTTGTGTTCTTCCAGACTATACTCTACATCAACGTCATATTTCAGCTAAATCCATGCAGCCGTTCTGGAGATACCTTCAAACAAACATCTTTCCATCTAAACATTCGTATTTATAATATTAGTTGGATGTTAGTAAGATGTTAGTAAAATTACTATTCAAACATTTATTAAGTAGAAATGAAAAGGTGCCAACTTCACTTTAAGAAACATAAAAGATTTCTTCCCGGTTCCATTGTATACAGTCCCCTTTAAACTATTGTAAAATAATCCCGGTACAAGACAACGGGCTCTCCCTACACTGTCAATTGTGCATCGTTATAACATAAAAGAATCAATTAGCTCATAGACATTGACAATTGACAGTAAATTGTCAAGCTGTTCACTGTCAAGAAATGTATCACATGTTGACCTTTGTGTCTTGCTTTGAATAGGAAACAAAAATACGTTTATTCGTAGAACGGAAGTAGGTCTAAGGGTGCATTTTCATTAGTCGATACATCGGTTAGACACCACGTGACGAGTCCCCGTATACGGTCTAACGACTAAACAAAATGATCGGTCGATACGTGAAGGAAGTGTCGTGCGAGGGACTCATATCATTGGTACGATGCGCGGAAAGGAAAAGGTAAGGACTATCGCCTAACTGGCTATGAAAAAGGTTCTCGCATGCAAGCGCTATGACATGAGCAAGACATCGATTGAGTTTCGACTAATGAAAATGCGCTCTTAAATTTGCCGTCATAATCCGAATTATTTAATATACGTAATGCGTATAAACAATAATAAACTGTGGGATAAAAAAAAGTGTTGTGCATTATATTAAAGTGTGAATTAGGATTTTTTACTTTATATATAGAAAAAGCATGTGATATAGTTAACCTGCTACAAAATTTAATGAATGAGAAATGTTCAAAAATTCCATAAATAGCAAAAAAATATGTATCTGTCGTCTTTGCATTGCTTCTCAATAAATTACGGATATCGAAGCACATTGTAAAGGACAAAGTTGTTTAGATTATAAACGAGGAAGCGACACCAAGTGAACGGTTCAAATCTGATAACCGGTATCTCCTAGTAACGCGTATATACGTAACATAGTCCATATCGATAACTAAGGTCAATATACAGTGAGAGATGTCTAATCAGTTATAGTTTACAGAATAAAAGTTAAACAAACTTACTCGTAAGTTTTGGTACTGCCGTACTCAGAGACAGATAATAGTTGATTAATTATACCATTAGTACAGAGTTCTCACTAAATTTAAAGTCAGTATGTCTCTTAGCAAACAATTTAGAAGATTTTGCTTGGCAGATTTCATTTAATTTCCGATTTCACATTTTGTTAGTGACACCAGCCGTAGAATCTCTATCTTTAAAATATAGATTTTTATTTCATTTTTGATACAAATAGTTTTAATCAAGCAAGGCTGGAAAGGTCACTACATATCACAAAACTGGGCGCGGGGTTAGGTTTTTAAACAAACATCACGTGTTTAACGGCTCCTAACTTTATTCTGTTACCGTGTCATTTCTAGTACATCTTACTAACATTAAAAATGCGAATGTATGTTTGCTTGAAGGTAACTCCAGAACGGCTGTATAGACCACGCTGAATTTTGGCATAGATGTAGAACATAGTCTGGAAGTACCCCTGGTAGCATATGTTTTTTTTAATACTGCGCGGACAGTCGCGGGAGACAGCTAGATAGACATAAATTAAAAGGGGTAATTGCTAACAATTACCCCTTATAATTTATGTCTATCTAGATAAAGATTTTGCTTAACCTTTAACATTTGGTATTATAATATTAGTAATTTATCTTTTATTGTTCAAAAGCAAATGTAACAGAATTAAAAAGTATTCAAATCCCTCATACTTAATTAATTTATGTTATTTTAAGACTGTATTACTCATAAATGAGTGTAATGTAAACATCTGAGAGACAAGGTCGTACTTCGCTGTATCATGCAGGGCTCCATAAACTGCGACCCGTAACTCTGACGCGTTCTTTGATAACGTTACAGTCGCAACACTCGATTTTATTTTTATCCGTGAATCGTGACATAGAGTTACATAATTTATTAAATCTAGAAATAAATATATAATAATTTAATTTCTGAAAGGGATAGACAGATATTACTGATTTGGTCATGATCCTGTCGCAACTTTTTCAGAATCTAAGTCGGAGACTTTCATCTCTCCTTCTATCTTCGTGTTTTTTTACTCAAGAAAAAGATTTTTGCTCAACAAGTGCGGTATAAAGCACCAGAAACCGACGTGCATGTATACCAAGATGCATTAATCTAAAAGAAGCGAGAGTGGTGTGTTCTGACAACGCTATATAAAGTTTTTGCCTACCGCTCTGCATTACTGGCGTGTTTTATGTTGCTATTGTTGTATTCCTATTAACAAGCTATATCTATAAAATATTGGTATGTTCGGCCTGAGAGCGTCGGTGGCTCAGGGGTCAAGCTATGACTTGCAATCTGCAGGTCCTGTGTTCGAAGCCCTCCATGTACCAATGTGTTTTTCGATTTCCGATTTTCATGTGTACATTTATCCGACCATCTTACGGTGAAGGAAAAACATCGTGATGCAACCTGCACATATCTGTCGCACGCACTTGGCCAGCGTGGTTGACTATTGTCTAATCACCCTAAACTTAGGGTCGGCTCTGAGCCCCTCGGTGGGGACGTATAGTGAGCTGATGATGATGTTCCGCCTGATTTTCTTAAGCTATCAATGTAGTCATTAAGTTAATACTTAAGGAACTCCTGCAATAAAACATTCAAACATGCCACAAGTCACGTATTTGTTCGTTGTACCATAATTTTGTATTATTCATTAAAATTTCCAGTCTATTTTGCATCCGCCTCCGGGTCTTTCCCGACGTAATGTGTGACATTTAAAACTTCCGCGTAGCCCTGGCCCTGCACTATATATGTTGTCATATAATGTCACATATGATATAATCAGGAATAATTATGTATGGATAAAGTAACAGTATTTAAATAACAAAACTAGAATTAATATTACACTATTTTTATGTTGATACACCTACTTAGGGACTCGGGATCTAAGTTAGGGGTGTCTATGCGTATCGCGGACGAAAGCGAAAGCGTACCCTTGGTCCCGTTCCGATGCGTTGGAGGAACAGAGAGGTTTAGTGGGTTTGCTTCCAATAAGGAAGAGAATCCCATATAACTGCCGCGTCCCTCCAATGCGTGGAGTATGCATAAAACATTCCTCTCTGGAAATAAAAGGGTGTCTATGCCTTAACATATCGTATCATACTATCATATTATATTATACAAAACAGAAATAACAATATTTATAAACGGAGATGTTGGTTTCAGAAAACCGCGGTTAGTCAAACAGGCTGATTGACTCCATACATCTTTAGATTTCATCCCAGATATGTACAGGATGCATCACGATGTTTTCCTTAATTGTAAGAACGTCAGAACTTTTATATTGAAGGCAAAAAACGTCCAATCAACGGACGTCTAACGTCCGACTAACGTCCTACTAACGGACGTCAACTGTCCTGAAGTATTTCATGTTAAGGATACAGTACAAATGATATGATTTCTACATTTTGTATATGTTCTGAATGTCATATGGAAGATTCGTTGCAACATTCACACATCAGAGATACTAACAGAAGCGATCCCGTTAAATTTAATGTCACTTTAAAGTCATTAAAGAAATTCAATACTCCTTAAGGACATAAAGAAAACATAAATAACATCAAGCTATCGTAAAGTGAAGCTTGAAGAACTTAGGACTTGTACACAATGGAGTTTATCAAGTTTTTTATAAACGTATGTGAAATTTTTGTCTAAAGAAATCGCGTCACTAGCATTCTTTTACTAACGGATTTATTTACTATAAATATTTTTTGTACTGAAAAAACCTTTAAGTTTATAAAAAACTGGTATAAAAGTGACCATATCTAACTATCATCAATCATCGATCATATCTAATTAAAGCGTCAATAGCCTAATGGTTAAGAGTAGGGATATCCGATCCGGTCGAAAGTTCGAATCCCGCCATTCGACTAGTATCGTAAACCATGTCCTAGAGCAAGACTAGAGATTAGTCGGAATGAATGGTACAAGAAATATTAGTTCATTTCCAAAAAATCTGCTAATATTTTTTATTTAAAAAATCTAACTAAACGTAAACGTAAACTGGTATATATCCAGTTATGTTTCAGGGATCGAGTGAGTAGGAAATTTACACGTAAAAATGCATATCAGGATCTAAATTCGTGAGTACTCGCATGTATATAAGTTCTTAGGCTCTCATTTCAGCAGTAGGTGTCATTGACACGTGGCGTGCACCCTAACAAGGCCAAGGGCAAGAGAAACCTACTCCACATAATGTCACGTAATTCGTAAAGAGTTTTGAAACTCAACTACAAGTATAATGAGATCGCCTTGTCCTATTCCGATGAATGGAATATGTTATCAATTATTGCGATATCTTGTTAAACGGTTTTAGTGTTTACTAATTTACCTGTCATCGATACAATATTTTGTACTCGTGAATTTTGCCTCCGAGAGCAATAAGTTTTGATATCTTACTAATATTATTTATGTTGGTCTAATTTTTACAATTTTGTCAGACCCGGCTTCAATAGCGACGGTACGATTATGCCAGCTCGTTTAATAAATTATAAGGAAAGGCAAAATGGGATTGACATGTCCGATAAGGACAAAAAACCCAAGATAAATGTGATAAAAAAAATCTTACTAATATTATAAATGCGACTGGTTGGATGGATGGATGTTTGTTAGAAGGTAACTCCATAACGGCTGCATGGATCTCGCTGAAATTTGGTATAGATGTAGAAGACACCTGGAAGAATCATAGGCTATTATTTTTTTTTTAATTCCGCGCGAAAGTTGTCTCGGACGCCAGCTAGTTCACAATAATTATATTTGATAAATAAATATTAATATAAATTACATTTAATTTATCTTATTACACTAATTCTAAAACTTCAATAAATCCACAACCGCACGTTTGCACGAAACTTCCTGCCTCGCACAGCAGCGTTGAGGAATGGTCCGTCCACAGCAGTATTTCCAAACCGGTACGACTTACGGTCCTTCAAGAAGCGAGCGTATCGCCATCTCAAAGGCTGGCAACGAATCTGCGGTTCCTCAGGTATTGCTGATGTCCATGGCCGTCGTTGAACACCTCGGTGTTCCCGCTGTTTGTTTGCCCCCGACTGTGATAAAAAAAGCTTATTTCTTTGTGATGCCTTCAATTCGCAGAACAAGATTCGCGTTCTTAAATAAAAAAAACGACGTAATTTATTCTTTCTAATTACATTCACGAACAAGAAACCCGTAAATTGCGTGTTCATAAAGACTTTACGGATTCTTCTTTGCTTAGGTTAATTTAATTCAAATGAGTCAAGAACATCATCAATGTATTTAATATTCCCACGTTATAATGAAAGTTAGCTATGATAAAAATTTATTAAAGTTTTCCGAGACCAAAATCCCAGGAAAAAACATATCGCCATCCCTCTCATTACCATTGCCAAAATAGAGATAACAATATTTTTATTGTATGGGCTTGGGTCTCGGAAACCAACGGTTAATCTTACAAAACTAGGGTATTGTATTAAGATTTATTTACAGAGAATGCACCGCGACCATCATTCGATGAACACAATAAGGAACATTGGAAGATGCAGGCGCAATGGATTTTAAAAAATAAGGTAACATCAACACAACAGTTGTATTACATCATCTTCTATTTATATATATATATATATATATATATATATAAATCAATTGATGTTCGTTAGTTTCGCTAAAACTCGAAAACGGCTGAACAGATTTATCTTGAAATGTCCGTGGAGGTGTAGGGAAGGTTTAAAAGGTGAGAAAAATTCGAAAAATTGCCGGGAACTAAGTTTTTTTTATCATTCCACGCGGTTATTTAATTCGGTATAACAGACAATTTCACTAACCATATACTTAATGTCTACAAAAAATGAAATAGTCTTCTGTTCTGTTTCTTGTTTATGGCTCTCCCTCATCGGATTGAATGAAATAGTGTAAAAAACATTTGCTAAATTTTACATAAAAACTACATTCTTAAGAAGGTTTGATACATTCTTTTTTTTAAAACAGTTTAGGGCACTTTTGAAATCCTCGTAACTGTTGTTATTTTAGCTGTTTAATATTTCTATTGTTTCTTAACCTATTGTTATTGTTCAGGTATCCAGTACGTTAAACAAGAGGACAGCGAAGAATGTAATCCTGTTCCTTGGTGACGGCATGAGTATCACCACACTGGCCGCCACACGAGTCTACCTCGGGCAGAAGTATGGCCATATGGGAGAGGAGTTGAAGTTGAGCTTTGAAGCCTTCCCTTATACAGGTTTAGCGAAGGTAAGATGATGATGATGACGATGATGATGATGATGAGAGTGTGATGTAAGCGCGCAATGAGTTTCGTGGAAATAGTTAGTGATTTTGTACATAAGGTAATGTAAATCATGGAAACCAATGTAAATTTGCGTTGCGCTTGCTGTAATCGTCGACGTAACTGAAATTGCCTGATTTTGAAGTTTTAAATTGCCTTGTTTACGAAGGGCCTTATTTATTTTTTTAAAGTCGCCCTTATTTGTTAAAATAAAAATTATTCAATAGACTAAAACTAGAAGTAAACATTTGTATGCTAGTGTTTCCTATTGTAACTTTCGAGAACATTTATACAACAGCTGTTTAGAACTGTTATGGCTTTAAGTACCCGGATCAAATAGCCTGGTAGCCAAAAAAAATACTACTAAACCTTGGCCTTTGTTAACTTGAATAGTTTTTCATTAATTGTGCGAATTGAATCGGAAATATTTTTTTCGCAGACGTATTGCGTGGACCACAATGTAGCGGACTCAGCGTGTAGTGGTACCGCTTATCTAACAGGCGTGAAGGCCAACAGTGGGACTGTGGGCTTGAGTGCTGCAGTCAAGCGAGGGGACTGCGATGGACAGAGGGGGGGAATACACGCCGTCACTGGCTTGATAGACTGGGCGCAAAAAGCAGGAAAAGCTACTGGTATGCTTTTTAATTGAAATAGCGCCATCTGTTGGCAAAATTATAAAAAATTCGTATAAATTACTCGATGCTCGTTTTAAAATCTAATTGTGTATTTAAATAATTGGTAACTGTAAATATACGGGACTTTAATTTATAAGCAATGCCTTGTAAAGTAACATCATAAAGTATCTTTATTGTATTTTTACCGTTATCCCTTATGTTGCAAACAACATATAATAAGTATTTAGTGTATTCATTCTTATTTAACATTAGATTTATTGTTAATTAATATTTTATTTTCTACTTCTTCGTCACATTAGATATGGATAAAACTAGAACTTATTAGAAATAGTACCTGGATGACCGAGCTTTGCTCGGTATTTTTTTTTTAATTGTGTTTTTTTGGAAATTATATTTAAGTACGAATTACTAATAAAATGATTAAATATGAATAATATTTTTCGATCTTAGTCATAGAAAAAGTTAAGTTTATGTTTAAGTTGATTATCGATAAAACACGAATAAAATGACATTTTCTAAAAATGATTCCTAGCTAGATCGGTTTATCGCTCCCGAAACCCCCTACATACTAAATTTTATGAAAATCGTTGGAGCCGATTCCGAAAGAGATATATATATATACTAACGGACCCGACAGACGTTGTCCTGTCTACACGTCTTTAATTTGAAAATATCAAACTTTTTTAATAAGCTAAAACATTTTGGACCATTTTGATGAAAATTATTATTATTCAAATGTTATGACAATATCCAATATATATATGGAGTTGAGTTTGACAGTGCGATGGTAGCGCCGTCTGTCGGATCCAATGTAAAACATTCCAGAATCAACAACTACTAATAAATTAAAAATTAATTAAAACAACATTGTCCAGCGGACAAAATTGTGAATCTAAACCATTCCCAGATCCCCTTGAACACACACAAAAAATTTCATCAAAATCGGTCCAGTCGATTGAGAGAAGTTCAGTGACATACACACTCACAGAAGAATTATATATATACAAGAATTGCTCATTTAAAGATATAAGATAAGATTTTCAAAGATTTAATATTCTAGTCATGAAGCCTTCTGTCTCAAATCTGTGAAATGAATGAAAAGAATTCAGCATAAATATCACGCCTGTCCGTATATTTAAATGAACAGGATTCTTACGAAAAATATCTAACTAAAACTCAGTAAATTTAAATCGTTACGCTGATTATTTTCATTCGGTTACTTAAGTATTATCGGTATAACTCAAACTGGTTGAAAATATTTTTGAACTTTATAAAATCATACTTAAAAAAACTGTTCTGTCGTTTCAACAACAACGAAAAGTTTTCTTCATCATATAAACTAGTCAAGTCTATCTTCAGATCTATAACTGAAAACTTTCGTGGTTTTTACCATATTAATATTCGTAAGAAATGGGATTCTTTCCACAATTCAGCAACCGATATTTCGACACAATTCGACCATGATCACGGGTTGACTGACACCTCAATCGTGGTAAGAATCCCGTTTCTTACGAATGTTATAAACTTTGGATCGTTCGTAAAGATTATTGATTTAAAAAAATATTCTTTTCAGGTGTGGTAACAACTACACGAGTGACGCACGCAACTCCTGCTGCATCTTACGCGCACTCAGCTGATAGGAGATGGGAGGCGGATACAGACCTTCCGCCTAACAGCCGCTGCGAGGACATAGCACTACAGCTGATAAGAGGGCGAGTGGGCAGCCAGATTGATGTGAGTTGGCATATCCAGTCAAAATACATACAAAACAAATGAATAGAAAGCATTGACAAAAGAAGAGTAAGCTCCAAAGAAACTTGGATGACATGAGACTTAAAGCATCTTACTAATAAGATAAAATGTTTAACAATTTTTTTAGTTGGTTCTCTAACTCCTAGTAACAATAACTATATCAGTTTCACAAGTTGCTTTACCTACCAATGTCATAGCATAGTAAAAGGGATATTACAATCGTAACAACATTGGTGCAATAACACTATAAAATATTATTAACTTAAGCTTTAAATTTTTTTTTCTAGGTTGTAATGGGTGGTGGAAGAAAGAACTTTTTGTCTCGTACATTGAAAGACTCTCAAGGCAATCCGGGATACAGAACCGATAGCTTGGACTTGATTAAAGAATGGCAGCTCAATAAGAAATCGCGCGGTGGAACTCCAAAGTACATTTATAATAGGACACAATTACTGACACTTGATTTTAGGGCTTACGATAGTGTGTTGGGTCTTTTCGCAAGCGATCATTTACCTTACCATTTGGAGGCGACTGAAGATGTACCGGTACTAAGTGAAATGACTCAAAGAGCTATACAGATGCTGTCAGCTAATAAAAATGGTTTCTTCCTCTTTGTTGAAGGTAAGGCGAAATTGTCAGCTGAGAGATAGCTTTTTGTTTTTCATTAAAAAAATCATAAAAAACAACACCCGGCTTCAATTGTAATTGAATAATTGAAGTCAAAAAGAGAAAAGATTTCCCGTACCGGGAATCGAACCCGAGCCTCCTGGGTGAAAGCCAGGTATCCTAGCCACTAGACCATACGGGATTTGACTGTATTATCAAAATTTACGCTTTGATGATAAGCGTTAACTTTGATGAACCTATTTCACTTTTTTGTTAAAATGTTAACCTAATTATATATTTTCTTCGACTCCTACACTTTTGTTACGGTCGTATTTCAAATATGTAAAAACTATATTGTTGCGCATTTTAAAAAAGACACTATTCCGTCATAATATTTTGCTGGCACATTTTCGTCAGGCGTTTTGCTAAAACTTAAAATAGTTCAAAGAAATTATATTATTTGTGGTAAAAGCACAATTTTTAACTCTAGGCGGACGAATCGACACTGCACATCATGAGACAAAGGCGCGTAAAGCGTTAGACGAGACGGCAGAATTAGCCAAGGCTGTCGAGGCCGCTATCAAGATGGTGAATCCTGAGGAGACCCTGATCATTGTGACGTCAGACCACAGTCACACCATGACGTATAGTGGATACAGCAAACGAGGGACAGACATATTAGGATTTACTAATAGAGTATGTATCTTTTAAATACTTTTTTTTTTTTTTGAATTTGCTTATTAATAGACCTTTATAAAACCCGATTTCAAACTTTTGCCTAAAGTATTGACTATTTGGTGTAAAATATTGGTATAATACAATAAAATCCTGAATTTAAACTTCTTACGTAATTAATTGCACATTAGTGCACAAACAAAATCAATATTACTTCATTTCCAAATAAAAATTATAAAATATAAAATACAAACATAATATAAGAAATTGTAGTTCAAATAGTAATAACATTGTAGAACAACAAATTATTTGTTCAATAGAAATATCAATTCTTTCCAACACTCATACTGTTTTCAACTTCCAATATTCTATCGTCTTAAATTATTCATAAAAAAATTAGGTCTTTAAAATAGTAACCACCTTTCGTCGTAGACGAAAGCGCAAGCGTGCCCGTGGCCTCGCTATGATGCGTAAGAGGAACAGAGGGGTTTAGTAGGTATGCTTCCCATCCGGAAGAGAATCCTACATAACTACCGCCCCGGGGCGTGGAGTATGCATATAGCATTCGCCTCTGAAAAAAAAGGTCGTTCAAATAGTAGTTAGTGTAGAATTACTATGCCATCCTCAAACCATAGTTAACTAGTCACCAGTTACCCTACTTACCTACAAACCATAGTAACTAATTTGCTAAGGTTTGTGGAATGTAATTTCTTCAGTCTTGCAGGATGATTTATCTGACTTATCTACAGTCTCCATTCTAGTTACTAACTTACTATTTGATTCTTACAACATTTTTATTGATGGAATTTAATTCTCGTAGTTGAATGCATCTGACAATTTGCCGTACACCACACTGAGCTACGCTAACGGACCAGGCTACAAGCCACACGAGAAATTCCAGAGACATAATCTTATGGTGGACGACATGAGTAAGTTATCAAGTTAATCGTAATATTTACAATATTCCTAAAAATAAGGAGCATTTAAAGCTTACAAGTTTCAGCAAATTTAAATTAATATTTTATAACAATAGAGAAATAGAAAAACAGAAAAAAACAAGCGAAAAAGGTCTAATTAATCAAATCGGAGGATCATTTATGAAAATGTGGGAAACCACAACATGTGTTTTACCTCCTTTAAAATCCGACCTTTTAAAATTTCACAATAATAAAATACTTTCATCTTTTAAATTAACTTCTCATAAAAATACTTGTATCACTTACTTCCAGACAACCCCGACTTCACGTATCCGTCTCTGGTGCCGATATCTCGAGAGACTCACGGCGGCGAGGACGTGGCGGTGTTCGCGAAGGGACCCTGGTCACATCTCTTCACTGGGAACTACGAACAAAACTTTATACCACATGCGATCGCGTTTGCCGCATGCATAGGACCTGGTTACACTTCTTGTAAATTATGAGTCTAGGTTTCAAGTTTGAGTTCTAAGTTCTGATTATATGAGTTCTGAATTTCGTTCTGAGTGTTAAGCACTGCCCTCTATAAATGGACTGGCTATAAGACATAGTATTTTGTGCCTATTTGATTTTGATGTGATGTTGATTCGAACTAATAATGATAAAAATAACTGTCCCGTAACATAAACAGGCGCCTTTAAATCGTAACAAAACAAAAGATGACATTCGGTCATACATTTATAAAAATCAGTGGTTCTGAGATTGCAGTGTTTTGTTATTTTTTTTTGTTTCTGTAACGTTGACAATATGACCTGCCGGTATTTGTTTTGAATAGATATCTATCTTCTATGAGTTTGTATGTATGTCATTCAATTGTGACTTTCTATAACCTAATTATGAAACCAATTTTGATAGTACAGGTTTTAGGTACGATCTCTTAGGTTTATTGTTCATTACTATTTTTCTAGACTCATGTTATAAAATAAAAAGCGTAATCTATTCTGAAGAGTAACAAATAATGCACATAAATACGTTTAAAATCATTAGCAGTAAGTTATTTTTATAAGCAGTTTTTTTTTTGGTTGTATATAATTATGTGCCTTTAATTGTAGGCACGTAATATGTATGTAAAAATTAGTTTCAAAGTATTATTAGTATAGGTATATGACTTATTTTAGTAAAACATATTAATTCTTTTGTAAATATTAATGGCTATTAGTAATTAATTAACCTACTCATCGTTGATTTCTGAGCCCAAAATAACTATATGAAACAGTCTCTCCCAAACTGGGCAATAACGCCCGCTTGTGGGCTGCAGGTCTCAAGTTGCGGGTTATAGTAAAAGTTTCGTTTAGAATTCTCCGTTAATATACATATATATAGGTCACAATAATTAATTAATTTAATTTGAAGTTATAGTGGTTTTTAAATATGTGAAAATATGGGGGCGCAAAATAATATTTATTCTCAAAGTGGGCAGTAGACAAAATAAGTTTGGTAACCACTGATATATCTTCATACCACTTATTGCCTATGACAAAATATATTTTATACAGAGATTTTGATCTCGGAAATCGACGATTAGGAATATGCTTATTTTAAGTTAAGTTTACCATAATTACGAACAAAGCGTTCGGGAAAAGTTAATATTAACTTGTTTCACTTCATCATTATTTATTTTTGAAATTACAATGAAAAATTATTGAATTTACCTTATTTATTCCGTATTTGAATAAGGTTAATTACGTTAATTAATAGTGTAATGTGCGCCTTTGTAAATAATTATTATAAATATAAAAATTGTATAGTTTAAAGCATTTTTATTTAAATAGTAGCTGTTGCCCGCAACTCCATCTGCGCGGAGTTAAAACATAATTAGTAGCCTATGTGTTCTTCCAGATTATGTTCTATATGTATGCCAAATTACATCGAGATCTCTTAAGCCGTCTCAGAGATACCTTCAAACAAACATCCATCCATCTAAACATTCGCATATATAATTTTAGTGTGATAACGACCAATCAATCCTCCAAGAGCATATCTCTAATGGCCGGCAATCCACCTGCAGTTCCTCGTAGTTGCCACCCATTATATTTTTTTATTAAAATATTGTGTCAAACACATCCATTCGTTCGCGCAAATTTCTCAAAGAGGGGTACAAAGTTTATATCTTACATATAAAATTCTCGTGTCACAATTTTCGTTCCCATACCCCTCCGAAACGGCTTGACTGATTCTCATGAAATTTTGTGAGCATATTGAGTAGGTCTGAGAATCAGCCAACATCTATTTTTAATCCCGCGCGGACGGAGTTGCGGGAGACAGCTAGTTATATTATAAATTTATCAACTATTTTTAAACAACTCTTATCTTAATAAACCAACTTTAAACCTATAAATGAATTATTTATTTCAATAATGTAAGCTTCTGTAAGTAAATTAACGCTATAATATTGCTTGAGTACGAATCTCAGGATTTCGTTGTCAAACAGACCCGAAATTAATTGTGTTAGACGAGTATGTTACTTTGTACAGGTATCAACAGAGTGATCAATTTTCGAATTCTTAGTTGACACGAACAGCATTTACGAAATAAAACTATTATGAAACAATAAATATTCAACTATACTGCATTAGTCACATGACTTTGCTGGTTGTCAGTTTAAGCTAACACTAAAGTTGATTTGTATACTCTTTGTTCTAACTGATACGACTACCACAAAGGTGCATTTCTCTGGCCTTATAGAAAACACATAACGTAGCAATAACACTTGTTTATATTGTTATTCAAAATTTGTGCACAAATCAATGCGCAAACAAAAAATTATAAAAAATATTGCACTGTCTAAAAAAAGTTTTAATAATCACAGTAAGAAATGTCGCTATTAAATAATAAACTATTCAATTTAAAACCTAATTTCTCTAAATACTCTTTTAGTTTAGTCTAGTTTAGTCTTTAGTCTAGTTTTATTTCTACAAAATATTCAGATAAAACTTTCGCTCATCTTCGAATCAAATTTTATTGCTTTTAATTTTATCTCTGTCGCTGTCTGTTACTTAATTACACTGTGCGTTGAATCAATTAGTACCGCCATTATACTTCAACGTTCTCAAATTATGAGACTCCTCGCGTACGAGATACTTACTCTTACACATTAAATTTATCTCAATCACGTAATTTGAAATTTATTCACTGTTTTAATATTGGCTGACGTTCTTTAAAACATGGCTGTAATAGATTTTCGAACATAATTATATTTTATTATATTAAAGCTTTAGTAAAATGACTTCTTAAATCAATATAACTTTGTTTTTCAACTGATAATATATACGTACAGGTACGACAATATGTTTTTGCGTAAGATACAGAAACTAAAAATTGTTTTACGTAAAAGGTTCAGCCATCAGTCGCAGACTGCTGGGTACAGGCCTACCCCAAAGATCGCCACGATGACCGGTCCTGTGTTACCTGCATCCAGAACGCTCTCGCAACTTTGACCAAGTCATCGGTTAAAATGTACCTTTAATTATCAATTGACTTCAAAAAGAAGATTCTGAATCCATCTGTATGTTTTTTGACCATATCAATAAGAAATAGTTGTTAATTTTATTATAAACAAGCTGTCATCTGCGACTCCATACGTACGGATAAAAAGTTACTTAATCAGCCACGCAGACGTTCTGGAGATACCTTCTAATATCGATCCATATATTAAAAAATTCGCATTTTTAATATTATAGTAAGATATAGTAAGAAGTAAGTTAAGTGTTTATGATGTATATGAACTAGTAGCATGTCTCTGACCGCATTCATTCCTCCGGACCTCACGGTACAGCCTCCAGCGATTCAGTTAGGCTTCAGCCTTCGCGTAGGGTGGACGTGCCAACTGAACGCTCCGCGAACTTTGTGCATAACGTACATTGTTTACAAACTATAATTTTCTGCATCTAGGTCGAAAAACAACGTGTCCAATGGGTGAGTTAAATGCTCGACAATGGTTTACTTTTAACTTTTTTTTAACCGTAGTTTGCGTAAAATTTATTTTCAATGTGCCAATATTTTTTAATCAACTTAAATACTTTTTGTAACTCTCCTAAATTAAATCAACTAGTCAGCTATGGAATTACTTTAATGACATTTTATGATTTTTATAATAAATCCAAACATTTAAATGTACCCTTCTAATGGTCGTCGCTTAAAACATCATCAACAAATTTTGATGGTTAAAAATCATGTGCATTATACCACTTTGGTTTTTTTTTTTATATCATAAGGTGGCAAACGAGCGAGCGGCCACCTGAAATCGCTGAAATAGCGAAGTGACCATTACCCATAGACATACGCAATTGCATATGCGTTGCTTACCTTTAATCGACGGAGAAGAGGATGCACAGAAAGAAAATATCTTCCCTTCCCATGCATCCTCTCATCCGGGAAGTTCACTTCCACTTCCCATCCTTTCCTTATAAGAAAAAGGGTGGGAAGGGGAAGAGAACTAAATTAGGCCTCCGGAACGCAACTGTTTACTATAAAACATGCTTGACATTGTATCCCTGAGTTTTCGACTGCCGAAACACTTATACAAAAATATAGTTATCTCTTTTCTTTCAAAAAGATAGAATGGGATGAATTTTTTTTACAAATGTTTTGGTGCTTTCATTGTTGGGAAGCTACACTTCCCGGACGACATAGGATGTGTTTACTACTTGCTTTTTAATACCGCGCAGATGAAGTCGCGGGCAACTACTAGTATATAATATATGAAATCTATTGTGCTGGTATACTAGTGAAATACTTTGACTCATTGTATACAGCAATATAAACATAAGGAGGTGTTGACACCATACTAGTCAGGGATCCAAATAACATCGAATATCTGCTTATATAAATTAAATCAATTAAGTAATGTTAAATTAACTCTACATTGAGTTTAACTTGGCTATTATTCAGTACAGAACGAAGAAAAAAATACAAATTTTTATTTTATATCGTTTATCCTTCCCACTAAGAACTTTGTAACTGATAAAAAACAAAATCGAAGTAAAGTTCTGTTTAAGTAATAAAAGTAAATTACTTATCTTTTCTTATTATAGTAGTCATGAATTTAAAAAAAAGCAACAAAATTGTGTTGTCTGCGGTCGCTTTTCAAATGGTTCTAATTTTTGTTATTCGCTCTCTATGGTGACGCTAAAGACAAAAACTATTCTATATCTATACTAGCTGTTGTCCGCGACATTGTCCGCGCGCAAAGATCAATAAAAACTACCCTAAATTTATAAAAAAAAGGTAAAACACTCACGTATGTTCGTCTACTCGCGGCACCGACTAATTTCGAGCACATCGTCGTCGGGGTTCATCATCAGGGTGATAAAAGTTTATGATAATGTCTAACGAAAGTTTGAATAAAAACTACCCTAACTCCCAAGCTGGACCAAACTACAGATGCTTAAAAATTTTGCTAAGAATTGGTTCAGTACTTTGGGAGTTTATCGCGAACATATATCGTGACACGTAATTTTTATATACATAAATAATTTATGAACAATTACTTTTTTACTATTAACTTTTTACTTGTCTGTACGGAGCGGCATCTCTTTGATAGGATAATTTATTTTTAGTAATTCAAAAGATCTTTCAGCGAAATTTATACGTTTAAATAAAATTTTAGTGGCTCCGTCTGATTTGAGTTTAAACTTGAGATTGCTTTTTTTGCTGTTCTAATTTTACTTTTTAATACAGTAAAAGTTTGCCAATAGTTACGGATGAATTTACGATAAATATATGAATTCATGAATAAGTTATTCCAAAAATAATATCCATAGAATTACAAATGTTCAGTCATAAATAAACTTTCGTTGAGTTAAATGTCAAAATTTCAACTGACCGCTTTATAAAAATAACTCAAAATTTCGTGAGACGTTATAATAAACTTATATAAAAACTAAACTCACGTTTGTTCGTCCGGTGGCGGCACCGAATAATTTCGAGCCCATCGCGAGCCCTTCATCAGGGTGATCACTCAGCGAGCGACGGGCCGCGTCCGAGAAATA